TCATCCCATTATTTTGCCTGACATTTACTAAAACAAACGGGATTAAACGAAAGGGCAGTGAATTATTCCCCCCTATTCATTTGGCTCTCCGTGACTCTGATGAAGGCTGACGCGCTATTTCACTCGCTTCCTCTGAGCAGGTTCGAACCAGAGGGGGAGAGACGGGCCCAAGCTGGTTCAAACTGGGCATCGATCCGGTCACAACGTGTGCCGGTCGTGCCGCGTCGGAGGAAATGACACAACCAAAGCACAAACAAAGCTGTGATTCTGGTATTCGACGATAAAACTGGATTTAAACGTGCCTTCCGCTCCATGTATATCTAGTAATGACAAGCCGAGGAGCTTTTAGGCAGCTGCCGTGGCCCCCCAGGGGACCTGAAGCCGTCTCGCACTGTGACTGATTGAGCCCATGTATACGCCGCATGGTGATACAGACATCACCCCAGCAACGAGTGCAGGGGCATTCATCTGGATTTATAAATAATCTATGGCGGGGCGGGACTGAAACTTTGTTACCATCAACCTTAAGTGGTTTCTGCATCGCCCTGTGCAGCTCGCACCTTGCCAGCCGGGCCCTGACACTTCCCCTTATTGATATCAGTGTGATTTATGGACCCGCGCTCCCCTGGCCGTCCTCAAACTGGAGATGGCCGTGTGATTTATCCCTGTCTGACGCCGCAGGGCGTGTTCTATTTCTCTGCGTCCGTTACTGTGTGGGGATATTTTCCGTAGATCCAGCGGGATTTTGTTTTAATGAGCGGGTCCATTTGCTCCGGTCTCCTCGACTGACTTTTATCTCCATTGAAGGCGGCGCGGTGTATAGAAACAATTGGAGGAAATCAATGGATCGTGGATGACTCATCCGCAATTATATACTGCCGCTTCAAGATAAATATTCTCTAACGCCGCTTCGTCTGGCACCGTTCTCATTCGATTAAAGGTCTGACATTCATGTTTTCCAGACACACCGCCGGATTCGACCGTAATTGCTCTCAGAAACGTGTGCCCCACCCCCCCCCTCGGGGCAGAAGCCCATTTGTCGCTCGCAAACTGTGCCGAGGGATTTTTACTCTCGCAAAGACAATATTGAGCCGTGTTTCTTCCTGCGGTAACTCATTATGACCTTCCAGAAAGGCCCTTTTCTTTAATAACGACCTTTTATCTATCGCGAGAGCTCAGATTTTACTCGCAAGTTTCCCCTCTTCACTCACCCGCGTGAAATATTAAACTTGAGCGGTGGCCACTACAAAATTGAGCCCGCCCTCCCCGTTGAGATGGCACCACTTTCTTTAGCGTCTTAATTTAAAACCTCCCTCGGCTGTAGCGTGTTTTAGGTAATCACGGTAAGAGCGCTCCCATGGGAGACCCTCTGTGCCAGTTCGCCACGCTCGTGTCTGTGTGTGTCTCCCCCTCGGGTGAGTTTTAATTCGGAGGCCAGGGGTAACATGAGATAAATCCCAATGGCCGCCCTGCAGCACTGGCCTTTGCCGGGGCGGGCCCCCTTTTAAAAAGATGCTTTATTGATTGTAAATAAGCTTTGTAATTTAATGGAGGGTCACGTCGGGTCTCGGACCCAGAGGGACGCGCCTGCTGCCGAGGGGGGATTTCTTTCATCTTTTCAAAATGTAGATGGGGCTTAGTGATTAAAAGTTTAATTCATTCTACAGGAGGGTCACAGCATGAAGAGACCGCAGATAATCCGTTAATATTCTCCCCTTAATGCCATGACCAAGCAGTTCTTATTTAAGGACTAAAGCCATCGATGGGGTGGAGAGTCTGACGCTTTGGTTCAAAAGGCCTATTTAGACTCATAGGACTGATCATTACATTTATGAATTATTCTACAGCTTTTCCGGCTTGTAGTCGGAATCTAAACGCTCTTATATTTCATCAGAGGAAACAAGTGTGCCGCTCCGGATGAAAGTGTCTCGTCACGGCCGGGCGCTCTCTGACCAGCTGGAGAAGCAGCGGCGTCGTCACCGCGCCCCAGATGGGTCGCATCCGCCCACGCACGTCACCCTCCCCACCCCCCCTTACCCCACCACCTAGTTAGCTCGCCCCGCTACACGTGCGCGAGCAGATTTATTCGAGCCTGGGATTCAAAGTCCTCCGTGTTTCATCACCGGCCCGCTCAGCTGCCGCGCTCGACTGAGTCATGACTTTTTGGGATTGAGACTCGGCATCGTAATCACGGAACGCCTTCTGGCCTGTGCGCTGACCAGACCAGACATTTTTAAGCCGCTCCCCCGCTCGTATTTAACGCCGAGGTGACGTCCCAGTAGATGATGCACGCGCGGCGAGGTCTGACCCCGCTGTCGCCCGACACCCTGCTGCTGCTGTCGACATCTCGTCATGGGTCGGCTCAGGAGTCGGACTGACGGACGGGTTTCAGACGGACGGAAGGGCCTCCACGTGATACAACCGGGGATGAAAAACCTACTTAGTTGGTAATGACCAGTGTGGAAATGAATCCTGATTAGATTGTAAACAAAATATTGGGCCGATCGCCGGCTTTTGCTGTAACTGATGGTTTTCATCTAAACCTCCGGAAGAGGGATTCATCTAATGGCCGCTGCCGTCACGCCTGCTCTTGGTTCTTCCCACAGCTGATCCGGTTAAAGTTGACTGCGACACCTACGTTTGCGCTACACAGAAAAGATCAGATTATCGGGGGGATTCTTTAAATCTGCCTTTGCGGTCACTGCCACAAACCTCAGTTCATCAAAACGCCAGCTCCAATCGGTGTGCTGGTTCCTCAGCTATGGACCGATTATAAAACACAGCATTTTTGGGCCCTTTGGGGTTCATATAATTCAGGCACATACAGTATCAATTAGAAAAAAAACCTAAATCCAAGATGTTTTCAGGGAGCATTTGCCTGACGCATCAGTTAACTCGCTTGCCAAGACAATTTACAGGTGCTGATAAGATGTTAATAATCTACTTCAGCGGAGAATAGCTGCTGCATCGGAGACATCAGAGATCAGACGGCTTTCCTCTCAGACACACTGATTCACATCAGGGCTCATTTCTTATTTATGGGAACCTGTCACAACGGCCGGCTGACACAACACTGCTCGGCGAATGAGGTCAAACAGATTAATATTTGCTGTCAGAGATCTCTCTGTGTCAGAGGAGCAGAGACGTGTTTTTATGAGCTGTGGAATTATTAGCCGCTGTGATACAAAGTGACGCGCGCGCATCAAAAGATGGAACGCCATACAAAACCCCCCGCCGTGACCTCCATTTGATCGGGCCTTGAAGGGCGCAGCGTTTGACCCGGGGAGGGTAATGGCGTCCGCTGCCAGACGTGTCGTCTCACAGTGTTGTTTTGTTCCTACTGATGCAAATTACAAAAATGCACTGCTGTTTTTGTTTTGCCCTTTTTTTTCACGTGTAGCGAACACGCTGCAATTGCATATTAAGTCATTAGTTAAATATGTAAATATTTAACTAATGACTTAATATGCGCATATTTACTTATTTAACTAATACGTAAATATGTGTCTTGCAGCTGCAACACGCAGGAAAGGGCTTCACACGTGCTGCTGCAAGGTGCCAATGCAGCGGCGAAATTGAAGCCGTAAACATCTGAAAAGATGTTCGCTTGTTATAGTGCTTCTCTTTCATTCTTTTTTGTTGTCACTGGAGCCGAACTGGAAACTGAAACAGAACGGAACTCTTACTGTGGAGAACTTCACTCAACAAGAGGACAGACTGACACAAAGCCTGGAAAACAAAAAATACGCGTGAAAGGAATTCTTCACCCACTCGAGTAGCAGTCAAAGGACAAGTTAGTCTTTCTGTGGGAGAAGTTTTACTTCAGGAGCTGTTGGTTGATTTCATAAATAAATCAGTAAAGCAAACAATGGATTTAGTTTCATCCCGCCTGACTATTAACGTCACGTGTTGTCTCGTTGTCATTGCCTTCTCCCCAGTGTCCCCCCTCAGTGTCCCCCCCTTAGCGTCTGTAGTCTTAAGATCCCCAAGCCTTTTAGACCCTCTCCCAAGGTCAGGGGGGGATTGGGAAAACATTAGTTAAGCAGGGTGGGGAGGAGGGGGATTTTTGAGAGCTTTTCCATGTCCTCCTCTGAGTTTTTTTTTCTTCTTTTAATTGTTTGGGTCCAAAGCCGGCTTCTCAGCTGGAGTTTGTCTGTGGGGCTCTGCTGAGTCACTCCCACCTAATGGGGAACATCTGCTGCCATGCTTTTTACTACTCACAGCAGAGATGTGCGTTCCTGCATGAGGTCGGGAACGGGGGGGGATTATTGGGACAGAACAAGCTGCAGGCAAGAAATAAAGACCATGTTATTGTTCAAGGTGTGCTTCTCTGTCAGCGCTGCGGCGCCTTTTGTTTCCGAAACATTGTCCTTGGTACTCGTATGATACTTTTTTAATATTATTTTAATTGGATGCGGCTTTGACCTGCAGAAACGACAACACGCATTTCTTTCCTCACTTTATTGCCGTGTTTTTGCCGTCTATACGTATTCACCACTAGCAGCCAATGTGATGTCACAATCTGTCGTTGTCCGGGTTCATTCACAAAATATTTCCTGATTTAGCTGACAGTGCACTTGACCTAATTATTGAAACGAGGGCTATTCAAGTATTTGTACTGTGAAATTTGATTTCCGAAAATTATTTATGAAAAAATAATATGCTTTCTACAGCTCAACGTATTCCTCTTGTTCCAATACTTTCATTTAGACATTTAGAAAGTGTAAACCCATGTTCAGCACGGTCGAATCGACACAACAATTTTCAGCCAATACGCAACACGATGCAATTACATTGATACCTATTCCGATTCCATTCTATATTAAAGATCTATTACAAATGCATACATAATATATTCATACTGTATAGGATGTGGTAGTGAAAGCACCACCGATATCTGGGACACGATGCCCTCAGCTGCTGAATTCAATTGTTAACAACGTCCGTTCTCTCAGCAATAATCATGTTTGTTTTTTTTGTCCCTTCTTTCGTCCCAACAGATTTTTCTGTAGTCTGGTCCAGGTCATCTGCTGCAGTCATGTTTAGGAACAGCCTGAAGATGTTGCTGACGGGAGGGAAGGGAAACCGCAAGAGTCGCAGCAGCGGTGAGTTCTGTCCTTGGACGCCGCCGCGCCACCCGGTCGTCACCCGGTCAGCACACGGGACGCGTTCGCCGCTTCTGTGGGGCTGTTTTAGGAAACCGGGACACGCAGCTCGGCGGTGGAAATGTATTCTGGTTCTCTAAAGAGCAATCTGTGACCGCTTTTCTGCCCAAAATAGATAAATAGATTTGTATTATTTCCGCTCTGCGTGGCAGTGGTTGCTTTCCGGATTTGTCGCCCAGCTGAATCAAACCGTCTTCGCAGTCAGTGGCTCGGTAGCACCTGCTTCATGTGGAGGCTGGTTTCCCTCCTGCATCCAACATATAGGGACCCGACTGTTTAACGATCGCACGCCTTCGCTGTACCATCAACGCTGCGATAAAGGCACAGTCTTAATCTCCTCGCAAAGAAAACTCCTGCAGCTGTTTCACAATAAAAGCTTCCCGGCAGACCAACTGCTTTTTTGCAGGTCGGGTGAACCTCAAGTTTTTCCAAGGTTGGTTTAGAACACGGTTCTATCCATGTTAATATCATTGCGAAGTCTCATTGTCCTACTGTTTTGAGACGCTTAAATGTGGAATTGAATTTGATCTCATCTGGCATTGAAAAGGGGATTTAATTCGGTAAAGAAACAAATAAATAATTGTGTGGCGTTTATAGACCAACCTGCATGTCCCCTTTCCTCCAGTCAGGTGAAATAACGCGGTAGCCATGTCACTCAGAACCGCTTGTCCTACACGTGCATAACCACCCCCATAAGCCCTCGGTCAGGGCGCCAGGGCCCCGAATGGGTCGGATACTCTGAGCCAAAAGCAACGGATTCTTCATTTTGTTTCATTGCTGTTGCTCTTCTCGAATCTAATGAGTTTCGGGATGGATGCCAAGACGGTGGAACAACCACCACTCTCATAACTGTCTCCCCAAAATAGGGTCTTTATTGTGAGGAAACTCTAAAGTCTGAGGGCTTTCATCCAGCCACCCACTCAATTTACACTGACGAAATAATTTGGTAAAGCTAGAAATACACCACACAATCTTATGAGCGTGTATGAAATGAGTATTTTTTTGCAATGATTTTGGAGGGTTTTGGCTGTAAATCAGCTTATTTGATGAAATTGCACTTTCTTCTGGGTTTGTATCCTTATGGTTGAAATGCACTTATTGGAAGTGTCTTTGGATAAAAGCGTCAGCTAAATGACGTGTAATGTAATGCAGAGGGTTCAACATAGATCCAGCTGATTGGGCAATTACTATGTAAATTTCATGTTTTAAAAAAGTTATTTTACCAGTTATCGTTTACAATATTTAAGAAAGCAGTATGGCAGAGGTTTAGAGTATGAGATGCTTGATAGCTTTCCAAATATCTAGTTTGTGATGTGGAGCGGTGTATAATTCATTTCTTTTTAGACTTCAGGAGGCCAGATTGAATTACAGGCCAACAACAAAACATCTCATTTGACATTTAATCCCTGGTTGTTATCGATCATACACAAATTAAAAAGCTTTTTACCTTCTCGTGGAGCACAGCTGATTTACAATGCTTTTGTTATCTATCAACTGGCTGCTCTAAAGTCCTTGAAGCCGGTGCAGTTCTGTAATTGCCAGTGAGATCCAATTTGTTCTCACAGCTTCTTTATAAAAATCACAGAGAAACTGAAATTGCTCCCGATTTTATTTTATTTTATCCAGCAGTAATCAAAACCCACCGGTAATTCACATGGATTCATTCACTCACATGCTGAGTGACGTGCTTCCAGTCAAGGCTGAGGTGAACTAAACCTGCTTCCTACTATGTGTGCGCTGCAGAGGAGGCCGAGCGGCAGTGACTGGAGAACCCTGCGGGGTTTGGATATCTGCTGCCGTCACTTTGCAGGGAAGTCACTCCTGTGCTGATCTTCCAATCTGAAACATCTGTATCCTGCAGTTCGTAGAACACAGATCCAGCCCGAATAGAAGAAACACACATTCCACTTTAAACCTTTTATTTAAAGACACAATATACACATAAACGTTCGATCTCAGCTCCGCTCTACCAGGACATTTGTAGGACTGAAGCGACCCTGACTTATCAGCTCATGACAGACAGGGGGCGCTAGTAAGCTGCATCCTGCTGCTGCTGCTGCTGCTGCTGATGGAAGGAGCACTCAGAAATGGGACTTTGGTTCAAGTGCGAGATCGCCAGATAAGCCGAGCGTCCTCTGCGCGTTTGATGCGGCATGAAGTGAGCGTCCGGCTTCAGGATCCTCGAGATCTGCAGGAGGGGAGGAGGGGGGAGGGAGTGGGGGGGGGATACACCCTCTAATCTGCAGACAACAGACAAGCCAGCTGTCCCTTGATCTGCACCACAGACGCCATGCGTCAGCCCAAAGTTACTAAGCTGACGAATGGCGTTTTTTTTAATTGAATGACACAGATTAGCTGCTCCGATTGCGACGATGCCGTGTAAATCGCTATTGTGAACAGGTCGTTCTCTCTCTTGATGCATGTCGGGCCGACTGTTTTGTCTTCACACTGATCATTTCTATTGATATAATAGTGTAATATAATAGCACAATATGTGGCTGATTCTCGGCTTTGTCCTTTTGTGAAACACACTCGCACCTGTAGCTCGAAAGACATACGAGCTTCATTGTTGCCTTTCTAGCTCTTTTTCCAAATCGAGCAGGAGCATCAAGCGCAGCGGAGTGACTGCTGACTGGATGGACAGTTAAACCCACCCATCAAATGTCAGAGTCACATTTATTTTACTGCACCTTTTTCCCTGTTTTATTTATCACCGGGAAACACCGCCTCGCCCGTTTTGTCCTCCGACGCTATCTGGGCGACGCCGCCATTCCTCTCACTCTGCCGTTTTTTAATCAGACGCCTTCCCCAACCCGAGGTGGATGTTGAATTGAGAGCACGCGTGAATAATCTCACACCCTGAGATTCAGGCTGTTGAAATAAAAATGAGAAACGTCTCGCGGTAACAGCAGGGGTCCTGCCTCTGCGGTCCCTGAGCGCACTTTCAACAGTGTGTATATTTAAGGCTTACTTTGTGACCTTCTTCAGCATTTGCCAGGAGCGGTTTGAGCCAAAGTGAAGGAGGAGCTCGCCGATGTGACACTGTGCCTTTTCCAGCTTGACAATTGAGCAGACCGCAGGCGCTTATTTTTTTTTTGCAGCGTAATAGTGGGTCTAGACTTGAAACAAAGTACACAGACTGACACTGCAATTACAGTTATGACATTGGCTGATTGGAAAATGAGAAATGGGGTTGAAAGGTTGGCTTGTCTGGTCCGGGGAGCTGCTGCGTGACTAATAAGCTCTGAGAGAAAGAGAGCGATGGGCCTCAGGCTGACAGTTGTGCAGACAGCATGGTGCTCGCGCACATCCGTAGGCGCTCACGCCGGGAGGTGAAATACTTTCGGACTAACAAGACCTCCTCACCTGAAAAGAGAGTGTCGGCAAACTGTGCAGATTATTTCGGCTCCTGGTGTTAAATTCACCTTGTTTGAAAGAGGATCATTGATGATCTGGACCACAACAGGAACGTGTCTAATAAATAGTTGCAAACTGACAATGCCGATACAACTTTTGCGCAATGCTCATTTCACGTACATATGTTCAGTTCATATATCTACTGTCACGTAGCGAGCGATTTCTCTGAGGAGGACCAGGCCTTCCTTTTCAGTTTTTAGTTTGAATCCTGGCTTTTTACACCAGTCCAATCGAATAGGCGGGAAAGCACACAGTTTAATTCAATTGGACCAGGGATAGGTATTAACGCAACCATTGTTTAAGTCCATAATATGTTTTATTCACTCCTAGCCATCACCGTGTGAGAGGATTGCAAGATGCAGGGTGCTACAATCTCACTTGAAAGACCCAAACTCGCTCCATGCGGATTGTTATTAGAAGCATCCACTAACAAAATGGAGCAGCTAACATCACACGTATTTTTCATTTTCCCTTAAAAGGCATGCCATCAAATATTCAGATCTAGGCAGCGCTTTGATTTCCCCTCAGACGGACGCGGAGCCAGTCTGACAGGCAGCAGGTGCTTGACAGCAATCAAATCGGTCCCCCCTTATCGCGGCGCTCTAATTGATGGCTCGCTTCCCACAGAGGTGGAAAATAAATCTAATTAGAGATCATCGGATCAGCAAACATGCTGCGAGCACTGAGGCACGAGGAGTGACACAACAGTCAGACCCGATGCAGAGTAATTACTGTAAATCTTTAAGAAACTGCAGATAAGCACACGTGCACTGGGGGAGTGACGCTTTCCTCACAAGTGTTACTTTGAGATGACCAGCGATGAGACGAGGAGGTTATGTTGGTTTGTTAGTTTGTCGGTCAGCAGGATTGCCAATGGTGGGGGCCAACAAAGAAGCCATTAAATTATGCATCATCTTCCACTTATGGAAACGACCTTGGCGAGGGGCTACGGCCCCTCTCGTCTTATTTATCTGTTCCCTTCATATGGCGAGCGTCGGTCCGACTGAGTGAAGCGCCCCTGCTGCCTCCTGCTATTTTTAAAATGAATTAAAAAATATGATCAAATTGTCGGTTACAAGGGGAAATGTTAAATATGCTCAAAACCTTTTCTAGTTTTGGAATAAACTGGATTGCATTGTTTAATGAAATTAATGTGTATTTCAGTTATTTAAACACTAAACAATTCCTATCTTTTGGCAATTTTTCAAAAAACAATCAGCCCGAGGTTGAAATAGCTTTTAGGTTCCTTGTCTGTGTAAAATGTAATATCAAACAACCTCTCTGTAGACCAAAAATCAACAGTTATATCCAGATTTGAACCTGTTATTGAGTTCATCTTTGCTTATGTATTCATGGCTGATTTCATCTGTTCGCTCCTCAGTGTGCTGTAGGAATCTAACGAATGCAACGCGGGGACATGTATATGCAGATGTTGTACATTTACATATATATTGCTATAAGACTTGCATACAAAGCAAGCCTTGGAATATCCGGAGAACATCAGTGACTGTGCATAGAAATGA